ATTTTTTTTACGCTTTATAGCATTGAAATGGCGGATATAGAGTAGACGTGTCTTCTAATATTACTTTCTAATCATCGTGCATTTATCTAAAATTTTGGGCAATGAAGACGTTTTTGGTTGATTGTTCAAAGCAAGCATGATGCATATTTTAGCTCTATGGTTAGTTTAAATGCAAGGGCCAATCAAAATGGTCTTGCCCTCGCTACTTGCGCTAGGTTGCAATCAATGTTCTACCACGAAGTCTTTATTGCTTGAAAGCTCGTTCTAAAGGCTTAATTAATCTCGTTTCAAGTAAAACAAAAACAAAACACAAAAAAAAAAAGAACTATTAGCTCTTCTAAGAGTGAGACATAGAACGGCGTTGCTTGTTGTCATTTTTGCTTATAATTATTCGTGCTTCATGATTTTTACTCATTTAGTTTGTTTGTGGTTATCCTGAACAAGAAAATGCAGAAAGAGTCATTTCGTGTTATCCATAAAACAATACCTTTTAAAAGCAAATCACCTCGAGCTCCGTTTATCTTTAGCACCAATTAAAGACGACATCGTTCCATGTCAAACAACACATTTATAGTTAATTATGGAAAGTTTGTTTAAAATCTTAATATATCTACTTCCCACCTCTACTGACAGAAAACGGTTTGACTCATTGTTTTCCGTTTCCGTTCCCGTACAGCTTTATTAATATGTAGCTCAACGGAAGATTAGTTGCCGAGTGTTAAATCTATAGAAAAGCAAATTGCTGGTTGCATGTTGACCTCATGACATAAAGAAAAGTAAAACTCTATACTAGTCATCATAGAGTAGACCGTAATCGAACTATTTAAACAATGGAGTGTTTCGGTCGATGAACTATCGGCTGATAGTTGCCCAGAGGAAATTTGATGTTCTTGAAACAGATATTTGCCCGAGATGCGAAGCTTGGAAGGCAAATAGGCTAGTTTTAAGAACATCAATTTATCTATTATTTTTTTAAAGAACATCAAATTGTCAAGGAGTAGCGATAGCTACGAGAAATGAACCCTGTGTTGTCTTTATTGTTCAACACTAAATTTTCTTCCGTATACCAGTTCAAAAGTCGTGTTGAATTATTTTCAACTTTTCTAGATGAAAGCCGTGAAAGCCAAATGTAAAATTTAAAAAATAAATCAGACAAGAACGTACTTAGAACAATTTCTCTATAGGCCGGCTTTTTTACAGAAACATTTTCACGGATGAGTACTATCAATCCGGGTATTTTTGTCGGACGGGTAGGATGAACTGATAGTGTATCTCCGCGGATGAACAATATCGCGTCACGTGATCAATTTAAACCAATAAGAATCGGAGAAAATTTAGTGACGAACGTAATGCCGAATTAGAGAAATGACGAAGTGCATTAATATCGCCTATTTCTGCTTCGGGAAAAAGCAGCGGAACAAAGATAATAATAAGACTAATAATAATAATAATGATAATAATAATAATAATAATAATAATAATAAGTAATAATAATAATGATAATAATGACGATTAAGATGACGATAACGATGACGATGACGATGATAATGATAATAATACAAAGATTTTGACGTTACATCGCGAACTATGCAAAAGTCCATTTTGGTTCATTTTGTTATAGTTGAGGTCGGATTTAACATTTTATATTCAACTTAACTAGTTTCCTAGAAGAAACCTTTTGCTGGTCTTTTCACAGTGTTTTCATACTATACATAATGATTCAAACTCCGCCTTTGTAGATTGCTTTTTGCTGAATAAAGAACTTTTGATATATATCTGCTCTTCAACGAATGTGTCTTTAACCCTTGGACGTGCGAAGACTGACTCATCCTCTGACCTTGGTATAACGGGAGATGGTTTAAATTCCCGGTTTGCATCCAAAATAAGAGTTAACCACTTTACTTAAAGACCGTGAAACCTTCTCTCGGTGATGCAATGTTGAATCACGCACTAATCTACAGGAATGTGGATCTACTATTCAGGGAACTGTGTCGACATAGTTTACTTTTGAAACTGATCTCTTCACCCTATTCAGAACAGGGGGCAGGCTTAATGAGCCTGCGCTGAGTTGAACCCTTTATAGCTATTTTGTTTCTTGAGTGAAAACTACCAATTTTGATATTGCCTCTGAAATGTATTTGCTCTTAGAAGTTTGATATGACATGTCATGGATTATATTTCAATGGAAACCATGCATATATTGCGGCATGTCAGTACAAATTTAGAACTGTAATGTTTTCATTAACGAAAGTTAATTTTAGAACTTTTTAAGTTGTGAATCCAAGATAGCGTACTCAAGGATGTCATGAAAAGGAAATAATTAGGGACTTTAAGGTATATGGTACGGCTAGGCTGCAGTACGACGGTAGAAGGTGAAGATTACTTTTAATTTGCTGACGACATGACGCGTGTTCCAGTACGACATTTCATGTCGTCGCTGCCCGGCCCTCTACATTGGGGAAACAGGGCGCATGCTCTGGGAACGCACTGGTGAACACCTTCGAACCATTACGAGAAAGCCGTCCAGTTTCCCTGTTGCGGAACACTTCAACAAGTCTGGACACGGACTAGACGACATGGAGGTTAGCTGCGTAAAACAATGTAGGGGTACTAACAACGACAGACGCTGTCACGAAATGCGCCTAATTTTTCATCGTGGCACTCTTAGGCCGCACGGACTAAACATAGATTTTATTTTTTAAACAGCTTGACGTGCGCGCTTTTACGTTTTTTGTCAGAGTCGCGCGTACAACTGTTTATTTATTTAATGACGTGTCCCATTCAAAACTAAACTTACAACTAAGGAAGGGCGAGGCACGAAACGTCTGCTTTAAACATCGAGTTTAATTTGGTTCTGAATTGTTACTGTTAACAACCTTTGAACGGCTTTCTCTTGCTCTGGTCTACGGGAAAGTGCCTAGTTTCAATTACTCTTAACTACGTGAGTATAAGCTTGTTGTTTCCTTCCCATCTCGAAGCTTTTTTCACTGTTTGAATAGCCTAGCTAGAAGATGGAGTACTCAATCATAATAATTCTCTCTGAGATAATTATTAGATTTAGCCTACCACGTGCTGCAATCATATAAAAGGGTATAGAATGGTCTTACTCAATTTAAAATTGCTCGCAAACTGAAATTTGGCCTTTGCTCGAATTGTACACAAAAGTTAGATGAGTGCTCGTGTCCTCGTACTCCCCAAATTTTTGAAACTGCTCGCATGCTCGGATTCTCGTTAAAATTTACTCTAGTCCCGTATGGCAAAACTGGGAAACATTGGGGAAGCATGCACGGGCTATGAATGTTTCTGGAAACATGTTTCCTCATTTTGCTGACGTTTTATTAAAACTGACGCGCGTAGTCTACGAATTCTTCGCGAAAGCCATCCACAAAGATAGACTAAAATAGAGTTCACGGCTAGCGGAAAATTTACAAAGTGCTTGCTGCTCGCCATCTGTGTTCTCTTAAGTGCTCGCTGCTCGCAAGACAAACTTGATCACTGCTCGTGCACGCAAAAATAAACGCACTGCTCGCAAAGATCATTCAATGCCCCTCATATACATGTAAGAACCGTCCCGGCTGCCTGCAGACAAGACGAAACCCTACAAATGAAATGAAGCTCTCTCCTAACTCTTCTGCTGAAATATCTTTGTCCTATTTGTAAACGCATTTGACTTCTAAGTGCAGTATTGAGAAGAGAGAACCACAACCGTCAGCACAAGGTAGGAACATACTGCTCTTGTTAATATGTGCTGTACTCAACATGAAGTCAACTTTGTTAAAATGGTCAATTTTACTTTCGTGAAGAATGCCCCACCAGTGACTATAACGTCCAAAAATTGACTCATTCACCATCCCCACCCCTCCCCGCTCCACCGGTAAACGTTCAGTTGACGTAAAGCACAGAGCACGTTAATATGTCGACGGCCTCCAACCCCCCGTAAGCGTCCAGTTGACGTAACGCGGGACCAAGTTAATAAGTCGACGGTCCACAAGTATTTTGTTTTCAAACGAAATCAGTGATCCACAACCAACACTGCTCATTAAATTTCATTTGTTCAAAATATATGTTGCTCATGGGCGACATTTTGCCTTTTGCGAGGAAACGAGACTAGACCAAGACGGACACTAATCATACGTTATTAGATGTCCAGACTTTAACTTCTGTCTCAGTATTTATCGTCCCTGGGGGGAATCTTGTTCTATAATGATGGTCCAGGACGGTGTTTGTTTAACTCGTATGTAGATTATCAGAACGATCAGTTTCAATTCATAACTAGCTGAAATTTGTATATTGTTAAGCATAAGCGCTCGTCCGTCGAGTTATAATCGATTTTAAAAAACGCACGGTTTCATTAGCTTTTTTAGAACCGTATTTAATGTTAGTTTTATCACCTGATTTCCTCGGTAGTAGTTCGGAAGCAGTCTTCAATGTGAAAAGTTCGAAAGTTACATTATACCAGCAGGCAAATTCGTCTCGTTGACAAACAGCTGGGTGCCTCTATGAGCGGAAGTTAAATTATTGAAGCAAAAATCGATCAACTGAGTTCGTTTCAGCACCATTTAAAGAACGCCTGACAAAGCGGAAATGGGAACTTATCTTACACTAACAAAAGAATTCATGGCACAATGCAATAACCAATCACCGTCATTTTAGCATTAGGGAGTTTTAGCAATGGCGGCGGCGACGGCGGGGACACACGCCTTGTAAAAAATGAATTAATATTTTACCTTCGAATATCACAACTGTGTAAATCAGTTCAGTACGCCTATCGGTCTAAAAACTTGTTCAGGCTAAACATGCACCGAAAGCGTACAATTCCAAAAGAAGATACGAAAAATTAGCCATTGCGGTTCACGTTCTCCAAAATA